AGATTATATGGTGAGGATAAGTATAGTGCCATATTCTGATGATGGCAATAAACGTTCAATGGCAATAAAATCATCAAATCTCACCCAAATTTCTTTATCAGATGCACAGTTTACTATTTATAAATCACATAAATGCAAATAAGATTCAGCTTATTTCTGGCTTTTACTTGGTTATATATAAAAGGACATTCAATAGAATAAAGGCACTTAACCAGCAGGTTAAAGGTCAGAATAATTCTTATGGAAAACACATGGTGGTGGGCAGTTGTCCACCACTTGGAAGATGGTGCCTTCAGAGTGGCATCAAGATGTTGAGGGTCAGCCAACAGGACCCTCAACAAAGCTGCAACATAATATTGCCAAAAAAGTCAGATGCAGAGTTTAAATTTGTGAAGAAAATAGATGTGCGTATAATTTACCTAGTTTATATTAATTGTATGGCAAATTGAAATGGTTCTATCAAACAAATGTATGAAAGTATGTGTTGCGTCTCTCAGTCATTTTTTTTGTTTGTTTTTTTCTGTCCATTAGAATTGATGCTTGAATTACTTCTAGATAGGTCAAAAAGAAAATCAAGCCTTAAAAGAGATATAAACATTTTGTACACTTTGGTAGATTACAAGCATTGCCTTACACAGATGTTGATACTCAAAAATTTTCTTGAGGAAACTTGCCGTAATTACTTTTGTAATATATACTGTAGCAAAAGTAATGCCATCTATGTAATGATGAAATGCCTTCATGAAGGAGTGGTTAAATTACATAATGTGTTATTTAATTTATAATATTTAATTTGTTTTATCTCTGTTTTTTATTCATCAGATATTTTGTTATGCAGATTAAGTGTATTGTACCAAGGTAATCCAGATTCAAGCACAGATAAATTGTATTGTTATGAAGATTTACTGTACTGTAATCCAGATTAACTGTATTGTTAGGCAGTTAAATTGTTTTTATCCAGATTAACTGCCCTGACAGTGGATATGAATGGTAGCCTAGGGCATTCATTAACAGGCATATTCATGTAATTTCTAAAGAAAATATGCAATTTAGTGAGACTCCCCAGGAAGATAGATCGATCCAAATATCTATGGGAATGGTCCATTAGGGCAAAGGTGATGGTGTTAGGGGGAGAGGTAGATGTATTTCTGTGAAAAACCCTAAGTAATTATCCAGAAGCAGAAGCAGATTCTTATGTGTGAATTTGTTCCACTGTGTTGTCAACTGACAAGCAGTGTCGAACTTTGACAACCTGAACATCAAAATCAGTCGTCGGTCTTCACGGCCAGTAGTCTGTCTTGGACTACACATCAGAGGCAATTTGTCTCTTGATCCAGTGTTTCTATGCCGAGACCAGACCCTCTGCACGGTTCTGACTGAACAATTCAATTGTATCGATATTCTGACATTGCTTATATTCCGCCTCTTCAGGTTAATAACTTGCACCTATAACCGTTAGATAATTGCCTGTATCTTGCCATATTGGAGGAAGACAGGAATAACATTTGCTGTACATGTACAAGACCAACAATACAATTACATGGTATAGCGGTTTTATACTCATTAGTCACATTATAAGTAGACCAGGCATTATAACTACCCAAGATCTGACTACTTTTATTACTCTGAGTTAGGGGGTGACACTTCTTTTGTCCAGTGTGTGTACATTTGTGAATGTACAAATAATTAAAGGAAAATAACTTAAATGACATATTCTTTGATTCACTTAGCATTTTATTTAATTGATTTTAATAGCACTAATTCAAATCATCTTTAGTTTTGTGCTCTCAAATTTAAATGAGAAAAAAAATTTTTAACATATAAACCACTATGGTAACTTTTATGGTTTTATGGTAACTTTTTTCATATTTCCATTGATTTTGGAAACATATTTCGTAATACTAATGTCTGATAATCCTCCCAACTTTGTTTGCAGCGTCATTTAGATTGTGTTGCACCGGCCTCGTTACAGAGATGAACATCACTTCCGGCCAGTTTATAACTCAAGGCAATCTAATTTGCATATAAGAGAAAAATCCATTTGTGTGCACATTTTCCATTATCCATTAAAAGCAATTTCCCTTCCGCTAAAAAATCCTCGAAAGACACGATCGACACGCGCTGTTTATTAATCAAATCAATATAAATAACTTTCATATCACAGACGTGAATCACGTTTTCACGCCCAAGTCATAAAATTGTTAAATAGCGCCGATAACTGCACTTGCCCAAAGTAGGTCAATTGCCTGTATAAAAATCCCATACGATTATCGATTTTTTGGGTAAGGACGGTTTTTGGGGAAGCACGCAAGAGAAAATTATCAAGATGTCAGCAAAATATTTGGGACTCTTGGAACCACTTAAGAGCAGAGTATAGTAAAAACTTTCTAAAGAGATAAAAACCAATTAACTTCTTTAGTTATGGGACATACAACTTGACAGAAATGACAAGAGAAGCTATATTCCATCTGTTTCTCCCTAAAATGTTACAGACCGCGTAAACTATTTAGCTGTCGAGATACGCGGAATATGATTCAGCACACGATAGTGTTGAAGGAGTAAGGGGCAGAGTGGTTTGGATATAGGGAGGGGGGGGGGCTTACTCACGTCACTTTTTCCAGCCACTTCAGTCTGGGAGCTGGAAGTAAGGAACACATATGAAATAAATCTTAAAATTTTATATGTTTACAGTAGAAATATTTTTTAAGAAATACCAAGAGAAGAAGTATTTGGTTGAAGTTTCACTTGATTTTTTTTATTTATTTATTTATTTATTTATTATTATTTTTTTTTTTTGCTATTATTTAAATATATGCACGTCCACGATACTGGGTAACAACAATGGGACATTGGCAACATGGTGCCGATCTTGTTAGCACGCTTTCCGCTTAGAATATGCATCGTATTTTGCTTTATATTCATAAAGTTTAGAAAATCTAACATTAAACACATAAAAAAGTATTAGGAAAGAGTACACTTAACTTCACAGAGTTGGGAAAGCACGCTGCGATCCTGAATCGGCGGCTAAACAGCGACAACGTGAAATCGTCTCTTGTGTTCACGCTCTCCGTTAATAATATAGACATCTTCTTTTGCTTCATATTCATCAAGTTTGGAAAATGTAACATTAAACACATATGAAATATCATGGAAGAGTACATTTAACCAAGGATGCAAATCCCCCCCCCCCCCTTGGTGTGGAGTTTGGGGGCCTTCAGCGGGCCGCAAAAAAAATTGGTATTTTAGAGGGCGAACAGTGCCATTTGGTACGGTTTAGAACTATGTTTCAGCTAGTCAAAATTCTAATTTCAAGAGGGTACCAGAAATCGAAGGGGGGGGGGGGGGTCAGGACCCCCCTGATCCCCTCTCTAAATCCGTCACTGTAATTGGTAGCTTTTTCTGCAGAAACATATGACCACATGCAATTCTTCATTTAACTTTTCGTGCATTTTAAAATCGCTATTATCTATCAACAAACTGAATAGAATACATATATCTTGTTAACATACAATCTTAAAAAGAACTGAAGTGACAATTCATTCATTATGTGCATTGAAAGATGGCGTCCAACTAATACATTTTTCCAGAACTACACACTTAAAAAGCACGACTGTTGTTTTTTCTCTCTGTGTCTCTGCCTGACTGCCTTGAATTCTTATTTATTTACCATTTTCAGGTGTTTGCGATCTTATTAAACTTGATCGTGTACAGAGTGAGAACTTGCCTAAGCTTTCAGGGCTGAATAAGAAGGCCACCTGTTAACGTTGAAAAGTAACCGGTTTTTCTCACATAGTTAGATCATCATGTTGTGATGTTTCGCAAGTCATGGTGTTACGAGTTTGTTAACGATGCACGTTACAACATGATGTCATAAGCGCAGTTTTTTAGTCGAAGCGACTAGAATTCTTTGAAAGACGAAAAACGACGAAAAACACTTTCTGCAATATTTTTTCAAATCAACGTAGAGATATGAAATTTGGACTGTTTGAGCTATCTTTATTTAAATCATGAGGCAAATATCAGTTACTCCACACATCTTTAATTTCTAAAGAATTTATAGGATATTTCAAAATAGACTACTGTTATACTTATTTGATACATGTATATCTTTTATGACATATTTAATTTCAACAGAACTGAAAAGGGATATTTCAAAATAGAAATATAACTTTTAAGTACTAATAATGCACAAATATCTTTATCAAAATGAGTTATATCCGCAATAAGTTCATAAAACATTTTATATCGATATACTGGAGCACTGAAGACAGCGTGGTTTAACAAGAACACTTCCGGTCAGCGCAATACTGGACAGTGAAAGAGGCCCTGCACCCATCGTCTACCCAGATTTTGTTGCCAAGGAAACCGAAGCTTTTGTTGAAGTCACAGCTGGAACGGGAGTACTTCTTGGCCACATTGATAGAAGTTATGACTCCACCGACNGGACTTTACTAAGATGCGTTATTTCTAATAAAGGAGATATCTCAAATTGTTACAGTGTTGCTACGGCGCAAAATTGACCTGTTGGCCGACTTCTTCGAGTTCTAACTCATTCATTTCTGCTTCCTAGCAAGTAAATCACACACTTCGAGACGCGTAGTGAACTCTGCTATCACGTCTTAATTTTTCACAAGCACGTATGAGGGCAATTGATCACAATTTATGAATTCCCGCGATGGCTGCGAAATTTACAAATTTCCGACCGCGACGTCATCTCAGCGCACGCGCTCCGTTCTGAATATTTACCTACGCGCAGCCAGTTGCCATATGACTGTAAAGGCTCGCCAGAAACACATCTTTTAAATACATTTTGATTTAAATCTTGACACTTCTACACAAAATTTGTATCATTCTGATATTGTAACGTTTAATAATTTTTTACCTGTTAAGTGTACTGAAATGTGTAACAATGACACTTGCATTATTATTATTATTATTATTATTATTATTATTATAAATCTTTTTTCAGCTGCTGTCAACAGGTCGTGGATACACACTCAGCCGCGCCTCACCGTAACAGACGTATGTCATAGAACTCAGTTGATTATGGCGTACTGTTGGATGTAAGAATTATTGTTGAGTACACGTCTGACTTCCAATATGGTGCACAAAATTAATGATTGTCCGGGAAACTGGAACATCAGAGACCTACTGCAGTTGTATGAAGAACGTTTGCTGGCATACGCGAAAAATTGCAATATCATTCAAGATGACAAAATGCTGAAACATACTGCCAGATACCATGAAGAAGTTGCACATCTGCCGGTCACAGATCCAGAATTCGCAAATGGTTCCAATCTGGGTTTCCACCCTGAAACCGCAGAGCGAAGCATTATCGAACATTGGTATCAGTATTCAAGTCAATTAACAAAAAATACGACCATCAATTATGTGAACGCTATTAATACATTTGAAGCACAACCAAAAGACGTCCATATACTGGACAGAAAAGGGCACGAATTCGGAGATCCTCTGACTGTGTTCAACTTTATAATGCTATATAAAGACGAATGTGATCTAAACATAAATGAAAGCTGTATAAAGGCCAACATGATATTCAGCAACGAAGGAAGAGCAGCAAAACCATTCGCGGAAGCTGGCCGTTTTGCTCAAAAGAGAGTAAGGAAATACCTTTCAGTAGTTTTTTGTAAGGTTAATTAAAGGAAAAATTTTCATGTTAAATAATAATTCTGTTAGTGTACCGTTTGCGGTGATTGATACTTATGCTTTGTGTGCATTGCATGCCTGTTTGGTTATACGTAAATTGTAAATTGACAGTTAATATGCATTACAGTTGACATATGTCTATTTGTTTCTGAATTTGTAGTAGTTTGCTGTTATTTTGCAAAATGTCTTTGAGTTATATGTCTTTTTCATTGTTGTTGTTGTAGAATTGGATATCAATTTTCTGTTCAATACCTCTCTAAGGAGAGAATGACGCCAAATGTTAACTTATCATTTCAGACTGCACCGTTGCCTAAAATGAGAAGAGAGTATACACCAGAGTTTATCATTCTTCTCCTGTTGGACGGTAAACTCGGTGATTCCAAGACGGAAGTACTACAATTACTGAAAAGGAAACGCGTGATATCCTCGGGGCTGTTTGACGCTTTAATGAACCTTATAAATGAACAACAAGTACCCTCAGCTATTGCACGGTGCGACGAAGTAGTTCAGCAAAGGGACGATGAACATACGACAGATGTATTTCGATATCTTCTTTTTTCTCTCTCACATCCTATTGAATTTGTGCTCAAAATTTACGCCGCAGTATTATCAGATAACATCGTTTCCAACAACGAGCTTCAAGACCCTCCTGCGGTGAATGGTTTTACCATAAACATCCAGAAATTTTCAAATGACACACAACAACTGAAAACAGACGACCCCAGTGAAACGGAAGACAAACAAGGTTTGACATCAACATCGTCGAAACGCAAGGAGGAACTCCTTACAGTGCAAGTATATCTATTCGATAAGATTGTGGAAGACGTGCGTAGGCCACTGATGTCAACAACTTCGGAGGAAGAGGCGTCACCAGTGACTTCTTCCTCAGACTCGTCTACAAGCCTATCTCAGTCAGATAGTTTGAGTTCTCTAGAGTGGGAGGACTCTTCAAACGATACACCCCGTCAGCTACTAGACTTACTAATGGGACTCGAGGCATTGCCCCCTGCTTTGTTTATTATTCATGTTTCTATTAAAGCTGAAATGATCAAATCCGACGAAGGACCGGAGAAAAGCTTGCCACGATTTGCGACTTCAAGTCTCAGTGGTTCAGATACAAACGAGGACAACGGAAATGACACCTTGTCTCCAAAGAAAGCAGATAAAAAATATCAGACTTTCAACTATAACATTAATTTCGAGCAAATTATGATTATGGAACTCTCAAGCAAAAAGGTTTATGAGCAGGAGAAAATTTGAAAAATGTGACTTGATTGTCCTGATTTTTCATTTTTCACATATTGGCATTTTGCAATGTGTGACTTGGAAGTGGCATGGGCATGGAGCCACATAGTAGTTACATTATCTGAATGTCCACGTTATCTATAATAGATAATTAAAAGTTGGTGGGGATAATGCTGAAAAACATCATGTAATAATTATAATATTACATCATAATTAACAAAAAAGCCCATTTTGTTCACTGCGTTACAAACGCCATGAAGGAAGACTGTGCTATTTATAATTTCGTAATCTTACATACAGCTCAAATTGGAAAACGGGCTTGATTGGGGTATTTTTGTTTTGACTGTATGGATTTTTTTCTTTTCTTTCTTTTTTTGTGTGGCATTTTCAATGTGTGAATGTAAACTCTCATGGACCTAAAACCTTATGCTAGTTATATATATATATATATTGCTCATATCCGCATTACCTGTTGTTCCTACATGTAATTGAATTTGGTGATGGTTTTGCTTTTTCGCTTAATGATTTATTGCATCAAAATTGTTTAAGTTGGAGGGGGAGTGGAGGAGAAAATCGGGGAGGGGTGTGCTGAAAAATTTTGAGGAAAATTAGGGGAGTCGTGCAATTTGAAAAAGACGGACAACGGGGATGGGGATGCTAAGAAAAGTTATTCTGACTCTATATGTGAATTAATGTTTTTTCATCATTCCATGAAGTTTTCGTTAAATATCTATAAATTCAATCATAATAAATGTTTTTTTACACCTCACCATGCGTAATATTAAAATAGAACGTTTGGCATTGATCTGTTTTAATGCATTTTTATGATGTATATACCGTCGTTCATACAAGGTTTCATATCTCACTAGAATACATGTATGTATAAAATACCAATGTAACAGTTTGTTTACAGTTCTGTAATAGAAAGCAATGTCCAGCACGCAAGAAGTGAAGACAGAAAGTCTTTATTTTTCATCAATTACAGATTTCATAAGTTTACTAATAAAACATTAAACTAAACATTAAATTAATAAAAATAACTAAATAATTAGGGTTAAATAAAATAATATAACTTAATACTAAATAAAAGATCAATTTACCTGTAATAGAAAGCAATGTCTAGCCCACGAGAAGTAAAGAAAGTGATGAAAACAGACAAAGGAAATTAGCGGGTCAAGGCTTTAAACCAATGAAAAGCGAGAACATAAAGACAGAAAACAAGGAATAGGAAAGCAAGCAGGGAAGACTGAAAATAAGGAACGTAAATATAAAACGGAATAGACGGAAAAATGATAAAATAAATAACGAAATAAGCAACCAAGTACTACTACTTCATCAACAAATCTTTTCTGATTCTTTACATCTTTCGACTTTCTCTTCGCGCTAGAAATTTTTAAGAATGAATGGAATAAATTTTGTAGCATTCACTATCCACAGTTTAATCCTGTACGTCTTATTAAAAAGAGCCTACAATGGAGAGAAAAATCTCAATGTTTACATTCAAAGTTATTTTGTCAAACCATTCAATTTTTACATGAAAAGTTTCATTCAAGTTCCCACATGAGTGGAGTGTTTTTGACACACTTTTTAAATAATTAACTTCTGGAACCCTTCATTGGGAGAAAAAAAAAAAAAAAAAACAGTACGTGTCAGTGCTGATCGTTTTGATAAAGCTTTGCAGAATCACTTTGTTTTTTATGTACATACACAGATGTGTCTGTACATATAGCCATCACCTGCGTCTGTCGTCGCCGTCGCCGTCGCCGTGCACTTTTACCGATAACACGATAAGTGGAAAACCGTTTTTTCTTTTGGTTTGAAACTTACAGAATTGATGAATATTCATAATACGCAGGTCAAGTTCGAAAATCAGCATGATCGGGCCATTTTTAGGGTAATTATGCTGTTTTTTCACTTTTTTCAGCATATATGCAGCACCGATAACACAATAAGTGGAAAACCATTTTACCTTTCGGCTTGAAACTTACAGAACTGATGAATATTCATAATACGCAGGTCAAGTTCGAAAATCAGCATGATCGGGCCATTTTTAGGGAAGTTATGCTGTTTTTTCACTTTTTTCAGCATATATGCAGCACCGATAACATGATAAGTGGAAAACCATTTTACCTTTTGGCTTGAAACTTACAAAACTGATAAATATTCATAATACGCAGATCAAGTTCGAAAATCAGCATGATCGGGCCATTTTTAGGGAATGTGGTTTTTTCACTTTTTTCAGCATATATGCAGCACCGATAACACGATAGATGGAAAACCATATTACTTTTTGGCTTGAAACTTATGAAACTGATGAATATTCATAATACGCAGGTCAAGTTCGAAAATCAGCATGATCGGGCCATTTTTAGGGAAGTTATGCTGTTTTTTCACTTTTTTCAGCATTTATGCAGCAACGATAACATGATAAGTGGAAAACCATTTTACCTTTTGGCTTGAAACTTACANTGTCACTGGACATTCCTCTCGATTTCTGCCCAAATCTAATAAAGCCTCAGTTGCTTAACTTTCGCCAAATTTCCAATATCTACAGGTTGTGTTGTTTAATGCTTGGGGTCTCTTCTTTGGTGGCGGTTAATTGGGGACACCTGTGCGGCCTGTCAACGCACCAAGATTCACTTTTGCCGTTGCCACATTTTCAATTGCCGTAAATATCAAATTCATGAATAGAATGAGGAAAAATGACAGTTATGAAAAAATGTTTGGAAGTACCTGTCACCTTCGCCACAGTAACCATATGGGCTGTGCTGCCCCCCCACCACAGGCGACACCTTGCGGAGCAAGCGTGCGTAATCCAGGGTGCAACTGAAAATAACCTTGTCGCGCGACCTTATTGAGTGGGACATGGTGGGAATTGAGTGGGACAGGGATGGGAATTTGAAATAAAAAAAAGCAGTAAAGAAAGGTGCTAGATTTTGTATGAAGTGTTCAGAACTGGCAAAGAGGAGTTTTCCTCTATGTTTAGAATTTATTCTTGTATCCTTGACAAACAGTCAACATCAACTTTGCTGACTTAGATGTTCAACTCAAGATTTATGTGTTAGTCGTTGAAAAAGTATTGATATAAATAGTTTTAAACTATTTTCAATCAGTTTCTGAGAGGTACTTCATTTAATTGCTAAGTATATTTACCTGTTTGAGTTCCCCAGTACACACACACACACATGCACGCACACACACATCTTATTTTGTTTATTTAATGAGTTGCTTGGTACACACACACACACACACACACACACACACACACACACACACACACACACACACACACACACACACACACACAGCTTATTTTGTTTATTTAATGTAACTTTAGACATAAACACTAATATATGATTCCCTACTTGTTACAGTATCTTCATGAAGACGGATACACCAAGTTTGGCATGGTGGGCTGCACACAACCTCGTCGAGTGGCGGCCATGTCTGTCGCCAAACGAGTCTCGGAAGAGATGGGGAGTAAGCTCGGGGATGAAGTGGGGTATGCTATTCGATTTGAGGATTGTACCTCGGAGGTAAGGAGTAGGAAATTATGTATACTTGTTTTTTTTTTTTTTTTTGTGAAGTCTGTTGGTTTGAAAGTAACATTTATGTCTCTTTGATCTAAACTGACTTAAATGATATGACATAACAACTAAATGATAGGACAAACTCCAGTATGACGTTCAAAATTTGGCTGATGGCGGCTGCGATATAGTGAAGGTCCCTCTAATAAAAGAAATGCAGTAATTTAGTGATAAACATTGAATAATGTTGAGTAATGATATTTACATAATTCTTATGCCTGAAAAATCTACAGTTAATAATTTTACTTCCAAACAAATAGTGCACTCATTTCAATTTGTGGGGCAAACTTCCCTTTTAGTGTTGAGCATTCAGCAGTATGTCTGAGACGGTGTCATACCTGGGTGATTAGATTTGTCTGTGCTCCCTCTCCTTCTGTATTTCCCTCTTTTAATTCATCTTACTGCTGTGTTAATGTTATGGAAAAGGTGTCAACACCAAAATCTTGATTCTTCTGTCTTTACTTCCTTCAGTCCTCTCAGCTCAAAGTAGCCGTTCTTCAACTTGGTACAAATGACCTCTCCTTTTGAGATCTTATTACTGTTATTGAGAAGATGGTGGAGCTTGTTAACACCATCTTTCAGTATCACTGTTTACCAGAAAATGTCCCATATATATAGTGGCTGAGGTGTTGGATAAACAGGGGCAAACGGAGGTCATCTTCTCAAATAAATCATTTACATGAATTCAGAGCAATTTTAGGTTATTCAAAGTGCAGGGGCAGACAGAGGCTGTCTTCTGGGTCTTCTGGAAGATGGTCAGAATATTTTAGGGTTGCATTGATGGACATCTGATTTTTTTCTGTCAGAAGATGGTCAGAAATGAAGGATGGATCAACAAAGATAGCTTGGAATACTGTCAGAAAATATCTCTGGATCCTCCCCTGATGAAAGCTCTCTCAGATATAAAAGCTTTCAGATTCTGTGTAGAAAGTGAAATGTTTATACTATGATGATGAGGTCACTGATATTCTAATATACATCTGTTTAACTGTATGTTATTTATTTTATTTTATTGATAACTTATTATTGACAATGCTTACAGAAAACAATTATCAAGTACATGACAGATGGTATACTGCTGAGAGAATCACTGCGTGAGTCTGACCTAGATAACTACAGTGCAATCATCATGGATGAAGCTCACGAACGGTCACTAAATACTGATGTCTTGTTTGGTTTACTGAGGGAGGTAAGCAGACTAACTATTGATTTATTGATTCTTTTATACATTAATTCATTCATTTTCTTAACTATTGATTCAAATAGTGGAATGTTTACATTCTATTCGTTTTGTGAATGCTATCTTGTAAGAAAAAAGGTATTTTAACATTTGATATGATATCAGTAGAGATATACTGGATCTTGTTTATAATATAAATTTACTGTTGGAGAATAAAAACAAAATGTTTTCTTAAAAGCTTTCTCATTGTTACACTAATGGTTTTCAATCAGAATCATTTTTTTGCTCAGGTATTTTTTTTTTTTTTTTTTTGTTTATATATCCCAGGTTGTTGCTAGGCGACAGGATCTCAAGTTAATCGTCACCTCAGCAACCATGGATGCCACCAAATTCTCCACCTTCTTCGGCAACGTCCCGGTGTACATAATACCTGGCAGGACATTCCCTGTGGACATCTTCTTTAGCAAGAACACGGTGGAGGACTATGTGGATGCAGCAGTCAAGCAGGCCTTGCAGGTCCACCTGATGGGCAACCCAGGTAAGATGGGGCAAGCTTTGAAAGGGGAAAAGATAGTTAAACAGAATGTTACTTAGGCTGAAGTTATTAAGTTCTGAGTGTTATGAAAATTTGTGTCCTGATTAAGGTTACTCGATTTACATTTGTTATTGTAATTTTTGTCAGTGTGCATAGAAAGATATGAATATGGCTGTTAATGAAAAAGAAAAAAAAAACATAAAGAAAAAATTAACCCACTCTGTACTCATAATACCCCTTTCAAGTTTTAAATAATCTATTATACTTAATGTAAAACTTTAGATGTGATTTTTTTCATCTGCATAATCCTATGTTACAGTATTGGTTATGAAGTTTTCTGTTTTGTCCCCTGCAGGTGACATATTGATCTTCATGCCAGGCCAGGAGGACATTGAGGTGACATGTGAACTGCTGGCAGGTAAGGACACCCATTACACCTTGACATTTGGGGACATTCTGATGAAGGTTGATCAGTGTAGTAGTGTTACTCATAATGATGAGATGTTTCAGCTGTTCAGTTTGAAAGCATACCTGAGAGCTTTCATCCCAACACTTGGGACTTCATTTTAATTGTATTAGTAACTTAAATTAAATTAAAATTTTGTGTTTAAATTGACATTTTTGAATTTTTATCATTATGAACATTTGGGGACAGTTTGTGGGATTCGAGAGAGAAATATTTTAACATATAATTCCCCCTCCCTTTATGTTAAATTAAAATCCTCTTAGAGTGTGAAAATTCCATCTTGAAATGTAGAAAAATCCTTCCTTTAATTTGGAAAAATCCTTTTAAAAATGTGAAAATTTTTCATAAAATATCAAGACTCTTTTAAGAAATATCAAAATATCTTATATTTCAAACATCCTCCATGAAACGTGAAAAATCCTCAGTGTAATGTGAACTAAGTTACCTCATGTAATGTGAAAATACCTTCATAAAATGTGTATTGTAGAGCGTCTTGATGAGCTTGACGAGGCGCCCCCACTGGCTATCTTGCCCATCTACTCCCAGCTGCCCAGTGATCTCCAGGCCAAGATCTTTCAGAAGGCCCCAGATGGGATCAGGAAAGCTGTGGTGGCCACCAATATAGCCGAGACCTCCCTCACAGGTAAGAGACACCAAGTGGAAATGATCACAGATCTCTAAGACTTGTTGAAATAATAATAATAATAATAATAGTCTAAAATCCATATAAAATGCTCAGTAGACTTTTACAGGGGTAAAATGAACAGAATTGGCATTATTCGCTGGTGGTTTGTATTTTTTACAATCCCTGTCATGATATACTTGCTATTTCTATGCTGAAAAAGTGGTTCTGATGTTAATGTAAAATAGGAGAAAGGAAACATTCTTAAACAAAACTTGCATGTACTAGTGTTTCAACTGCAAATGCAGTTGTGGAAAACATGTTAATGGCAGTTGTTTAATAGACAATTAATTTAAGAATTTGCTATATTATGTTTGTCCTGATACTTTATCTTTTTGATTTCCATTGTTTGTATTCAGAGATAACGACAATACAAAGAAAAAATACACAAATGTACCACATAAAACATTACACTATATTTCAATAACAGTACTATACAAGTAATATACTCCACATGTTTATACGACAACTAAATATTCAACTGAGACTTGAAATGTTTTCCAGTGGATGGTATACAGTTTGTGGTAGATGCTGGTTTCTGCAAGCTGAAGGTGTTCAACCCTAAGATTGGTATGGATGCTCTCTCTGTGTTCCCTATTAGTCAGGTGAGAAGATTTTATAGGGTACTGGAAATCTGTTGACTTCTTCAGACTTAATGATGCATTTGTGCTATTTTTTAACCTCATCTCAGAGTGGGTGGCTGTTGCTTTTATGGTTAGGTGACCAATTGGACAGACTATTTGTTACTTTTATTTTTAAGGGACTGCTGGATAGATTTATCATTTATTTAAAGAACAGTGGCACATGAACTTTGATGAAAATGAATTTTTTTGCCATTCTTAGTGTTACTAATTATCTTAAAACCAAATGATCAATTTAAAGGAATAAGCTTAAGAACTCTTTCTGTAAGTGAGCAATGCACAGGGTGAGCACTGGATAACAATGTCTGTTGATGTTTCAGGCCAATGCCAACCAGAGGTCAGGGAGAGCAGGAAGAACAGGCCCTGGGTAGGAGAAGAATTTCTCTCTCTCTCTCTCTCTCTCTCTCACACACACACACACACACACACACACACACATTAGTGCTGCCTACTGAGACCAGAAAAAGATAAAATTTCATATTATCATTCAAAGTTGCTCTCACAGGATTATAATACTCTTATTAACTCATTGACACATGTATTCTATGTGCTTTGGCTGCAACATGAAGTAGCGTTCTTACCTGATCACACAGCACTTGCTTGTACTGTAACCACACAGACACATTCACACCAGGTATAAGTTGGACATTTTTTTTGGTACATTTTTCAGCCAGTGCTTCAGGCTGTACACAGAGCGCCAATACAAGGACGAGTTGCTGGTGACTACAGTGCCAGAGATCCAGAGAACCAACCTGGCCAACGTGGTGCTCCTGCTCAAGTCCCTAGGGGTGCAGAATCTCCTCCAGTTCCACTTCATGGATCCACCTCCACAGGTAATTATTAAGACACCCACCAGCATATAAAGTAACTGCAAGAAAATGTCAGCAACTTTAAACAGAATATAACATGACACATTAAATACCACACAGGTAATTAAGACACCAACATATAAAGTAACTGCAAGAAAATGTCAGCAAGTTCTTAGCCAAGGAACCTGACTTAATCTTTTTTGTGAAACTCCTTGCAGGATAACATCCTGAACTCCATGTACCAGCTGTGGGTTCTGGGAGCTCTGGACAACACGGGTTCCCTGACGTCCCTGGGAAGACAAATGGTGGAGTTCCCTCTGGACCCCGCGCTGTCCAAGATGTTGATTGTCTCCTGTGATATGGGCTGCAGTGCAGATATACTGGTGGGTAGATAGAGATGGTATCATTTACAGATTTCTACTAATTTATTTATTTCAGTGTGTATGCGTGTGTAATAATTTAGAGATATCTATTACTTCATTTATTGCAGTGTGTGTGCACAAGCACTTGGGCATTTTTAAAGATTTTTCGGCCTTTGCTTTGCTCCAAAAATTTACTTTTGAAACAAACTCGGCTTACTTTTCATGAGTTTTGAATTTGTTTAGCTGTAAGATTTGTCTATTATCATTAACAAAAAAAAAATATATATATCAAAATATTTTAATGGTGTGTTGTTTTTAGAATTTGCCAAATTGTGTTTAATGTGAACTTACGTTACCGTGAAGGCTGTAGAGCTTGAAAATGCATCATAAGAAAATTGGAAGAGAGGAGTATGACTGGTATAGGACTTATCGTTTTCCTTAAACAGTATATATATATATTTTTTTAATTTTGATTTCTGACATAAGAAATATACATATATTTCTGAATCATCTATTAAAAGGTAAACTGTTTTCTTCCTTCAGATCATAGTGTCCATGTTATCTGTCCCAGCCATTTTCTTCAGACCAAAAGGAAGAGAAGAAGACTCAGATTCTGCCAGAGAAAAGTTTCAGGTTCCAGAGAGTGACCATTTGACCTTTCTTAATGTCTATCTACAGTGGAAGAGAAATAAGTATGAATTTGGTTCTGTAGTATAGAAATATAGAAAGTGAGGCAGAGAGATATGAAAGGGAGAGAGAAGAAGGAAATGCATATGCGTGCATGCATGTGTGTGCGCACGTGGGTGTGTGAGAGAGAGAGAGAGAACAGGGGGGAGGGTGTAGTAATGGATAGAAGAGACATTCAAAAGCTTTTGTCACATTTTATGATAAAATACTTAGACAAGTGTATGCACTCTAACATTGTTTCCACGATTGGCAAAGTCTCAGTCCTGTGTTTCATATTTCAGCTATTCCTCCAGCTGGTGTCAGGAACATTTTGTCCATGTCAAGGCAATGAGGAAGGTATGATAATACCAGAAAGTCTTTTCTTTGTGTGGTGTAACAATTAGCCATTCAATGAAATATATCTTCTAACATGTGCATGTGTACTAGTAAACCTATAACTATTGTGCGTAAAAATAATATATGAACCATTATTTTACTGGTTCATCAAAAATATGGAATGTGATTATTTGAAAAGTGGTAATTTTATTTATTTGTAGGTCTGTTCCTATTAATCATCTCAGTGGTTGCATTTAGAACCAGATTAACTTTTAAGATAAAACTAGACATAGTCTTACTGACATCCCCAATAATCGGGTCTGAAAATTGGGCTAACACAGTTCTCATCATCAATTCCTTTTACGCCGTCTAGAGCACCAACAAAGATCTTCCACTGCTCTCTGTCATGAGCCAGGTGTTGGGTGGTTCCCCAGCTTTCTCCCAGTTGTTTTAACTCTGCTTTGACAGTCCTTCTCCATGTGGTCTTAGGTCTGCCTCTTTTTCTGTGTCCCTCTGGTGTCCAGTACAAGCACAGTTCTGACAGAAGAAAACGCATGTTTTAATTGCTTTATTTTAGGTCCGTGAGGTGCGTCAACAGCTGAAGGAGATAATGGACCAGCAGAAGATGGACTTCGTGTCCTGTGGCCAGGAGTGGGATATCATCAGGAAGTGTATCTGTTCATCCTACTTCCACCAGGCAGCCAGGATGAAGGTATAGTACCAGAGTTAAAATATTAATATTGTAATGAGTGGGATATCATCAGGAAGTGTATCTGTTCATCTTACTTCCACCAGGCAGCAAGGATGAAGGTATAGTACTAGAGTTAAAATATTAATATTGTAATGAGTGGGATATCATCAGGAAGTGTATCTGTTCATCTTACTTCCACCAGGCAGCAAGGATGAAGGTATAGTACCAGAGTTAAAACATTGGTATTGTCATGTGGTTGTTGAACAGCCAAAAACTGTGTATCAAATTTTTAGTTTTTTAATAAAAAATAAAACAATAAAGTGGTGTAATTTTATGTGAATTTTGATGTGATTTTCTTAGTTTGACATTCTTCAGCGTTTTACTTGATTTTTCACCAATGAATATTAGCACAACTATAGAATGTTAATTATTTTGTATTGTTCAGAAATGTGTTAAAACTTTGTATTATCACTTGTAGGGTCTTGGTGAATATGTCAACATGAGGACAGGGATGCCCTGTCACCTACACCCCACCAGTGCACTGTTTGGCATGGGTTATACTCCAGACTACATAGTCTACCATGAACTGATCATGACATCCAAGGTAAGGTCACATTTTTGTACCATGAAGTGATCATGACGTCTAAGGTAAGATTACTTTATTGTGCCACGAACTGATCATGGATTTATTGCACCATGAAGTCATCATGACATCTAAGGTCAAGTCACATTTCTATACCATGAATTGATCATGACGTCTAAGTAAGGTCACATTTTTGTACCTTGAATTGATCAGAGCATGTGTTTGCACCATGAACTGATCATGACATCCAAGGTAAGATCAATATTTTTGTGCCATGAACTGATCATGGATTTATTGCACCATGAACTGGTCATGACATCTTAGGTAAAAGCACTTTCAGTTATCCTTTAACTTCTGTTTATATATATTTATAAGAAATGCAAAATGTCAAGAACTATGCAAGCTTTGAGTACAACTTTGGACATAAAACACTATTTTTATTATTATGACAAGGGTATACCTGTACCCTATGGACCTATTAGTCACCATTTATCATATTTGTATGGTATAAATGGCTTTTAGAATTTATTAATTGTTCACAAAAGTGCACAAAGTGACAGAGGTAACTTAATGTCTACTGGGATTTGAGATTTTTATGCCTGTGTTTAACTGTAAAATACTTGAATATTACAGCTTCATGTAACTTCATTCCCTCATTTTAGGAATACATGCAGTGTGTGACTGCTGTGGATGGACACTGGCTAGCTGAACTGGGACCAATGTTTTATAGTGTCAAAGAATCATCGAAGACAAGAAATGTAAGTAAAATAGTTCTAAAATATGTGTGACAAATGGTTTCCAAACCACTCATCTATCTTTTTATTGCCGTTAAAGCACCTGTGTTGTTTAAAATTTGCTTTTCCTAAGGAAGATGGGCCCCGGGTAAAAATCCCTCTCTCTCTTATTTTGTGATGAGGATATTATAATTATAAATTTTGATATCATTTTTTATTACATTTCCTCAAAAAAAAAAACAAAAGAAAAAAATGTTGGCTCCACATTTTCCTATAATGTACATAAATACTCTTATTTATAGTCAATTTTTAATTGATTATTCTTATTGAGATTTACCCTTTTTATAATATAAACCTTTTGTTTCCACAACTTCTGATTTTATAGAAGAAACCTATGTTTATGTGACATCAGCAAGTACTGAGATTATCTTCCATTTTATTTCAAGATTCTTCAGTCTTCTTTTCACCAAACCCTGTCATAGGATGCTTTATTTTTTGTTTCCCCCAGGAAAACCGCCAGAAGGAAGCAGCGGACATGACTGCCATGGAGGAAGAGATGAAGAAAGCCGAGGAGCAGATTAAGTTAAGAAAGGAGGAGCAAGAGAAGGCTTTGGTTGATACGAGCAAAAGGTAACACTCACCGACTCTCATTTCCATATAAGCAGGCTTGTTCATGTAACACTATAAAGAGGCTGAGAGAAGGAGTTTAACTTAAAGCAAAAATAGTCTCTTCTCACCAGGGGCCTGTTACATGTTGCAACCAGGAGCTTGAGCTAGAAAATTGGTTTTAATTTAGAGACCAAAAATCGGGTCTACTTCAGTTCAAGTTGTATCAACAGAAGAGCACTTAAAAAATTAAGATCTGGCCTGCAACAATGTCTTTCTTGTGATAAAACATGAACAATTTTTCATTTAATTGGATTATTTCCCCTTATTTATCTTGAATAAAAGTAGACCTAAATTTGGTTTTAAAATTTTCACCAATTTCCATGCTGAAACAAGCCCCAGAAAGTCGTAGGACTTAGACAGCTTTAACTGCTTATTAACATGGAATGTAAATTCTTTGTTTACATGACACTTAAATGTTATATTGTGACCATGACGGTTTCATGACATTGACATGGTTTATAATTAATGTTTTAGGAACCAAATTGTCACCCCAGGAAGGAAAGAACCAGGCACTCCATTTACCCCCAGAAGACCAAGGTCCAAGATAGGAATTTGATGTGGTGGGCCAGCACCTCGGGTTGGATTTAGATATCTTGAAAGTCATCACCAAATGAAATGTTTTTAAATGGGGGAGGAGGGGAATGGAACAATAAAGTCATTGTCATGGAAGGATTTAATCTGAAGTTTTTTATCAAAATGACCAGGAATTCTCCTCGTGTTGTGTAAAATTGGCAGTTAGAATTCTGAGGTGAACCTTGAAAAAAAGCCATTCTGCGTCCTGTTTGATACAGAATCCTAGTTGACGGTTAAAAAAGGAGAAATGGTGTCAGTCAAGTGATTTAGAAGCTCTGTGCAGTAATAAGAACTTGATTTAAAGCTCAAGGCTACTTGCAACTGTTTGCAGGAAGTGAATATCTTTACACTTAAAGTTAAAAACATTAAGACCAAACACACTGATTGGATATTATGTATATGCACCTGATTAATGTATATATGTATATATAATGAGTTGAGTATTATTCTCAAGGGCATGTGTTTCATCATGCACTTTACACTACTGGTACTGTAGATGCCCCAAAGTTGTGATATTGTAGGACTCTTTCTTGCTGTAAAATGCAGGGATGAGATTTTTCTGACTATCGGCAGATTTCTGACTTTTTGGGAAACAAAAACTTCATTGTTGAAGGCAGCCCCCTAGACCTCGAGCCATATTTTCTTACTTTTCCACTAAATGGCAATCTTATCACTAAAAATGTTCATTACTGATGTAAAGAATGGATGAAATGCAACTGGGAAGATAATGCGTGCAAATTAAAATTTTGGTAATGCTATTTTATATTTGCATTAAATATAAATGATGAATCTTCATTTTCATGGGGTTTTTATTTTAATATATATACAGACAAGGGACATCAAATTTTAAACTGAATAAATGTATCAGTAACAGTTAAAGTAAAAATATTAAATATAATTTATTTTCATTTTGTAAGACTAAATATGAGTGTTAATCAGAATTGGAAACATGGCACCGCTCTCCCTGGTCAATGTGCTGTATCAATTATAATTACATATCAAAATTTTACAGCTATTCGAACGAACGGAGAAACATCTAAACATCATGAATCTGCTCCACATTTTCCCCTGCAAATGTATTAGAATAACAATCTGTTTCATTTATTCATTATTTTGACTGTTTATTTCTAAAATTGTTCAATAACTCATTGTGCATATGATCCAAAATGATACTTGAGGCAAAAGATGTGGGCATCGCGCGTGGAGTGAAATATCAAATGATACCGCATGTCTACCGTGACTTCATCAGTACGTTCTGTACGGCGTCTTGCCGTAATCCTCTTTTCGAGATGGAGGCTTATTGTGCCTTTTCATACTAGTTAACTATAATTCAAACCGAAGCGTCGGCACGGAAAGTAGGTGACCTTTTCATTATTATGTAAATCAGGTGAGCATTTTGGTGAGAGGTGCTCAGATAGGACCAAGGTCAGTAGAAGATGGAGAAGAAAGATGTCCCATGCCATATTACCGCTACTCCCACATGTAGGCCGAAAAGATGGCACTGAAACTGGCAGCAGTATCTCGTAAGTTCCGTACAGATGATAGAAAATGTGTTGTAGCGTTTCTTAGTTTTGCATTGACGATATTTTCCCGAAATATGGTGCACTCTGGGCATAATGCCCAATGGGACATCTAACTGACGTGAAGGATACTTCTCTTAGCTTTCCCTCAGTGCCTTTTGGGCGTCCTTTTGTTTCTGAGAACATTAGCTTTCCATGAAGGTTGAATATATATATATTTGTATAATTTTAAGGTTTAATTGCGATTTGTTAATCATAACGCAACGGATACTGACACGAATTGCTGTAATGAACATACAATGCTTTATCAGATCTTTAGACATTGTTTCATGAATGTGAATTTATTCCTTTACTTCCAGTGACTCTAAGTAGCGTTTACGAAGATGCCAGAAGCGTCCTACTCAGAGACACGTTACGTGTTCGACACATACAGCCCCACACCCATGCCAAGTTTGCCTCCTATGCCGACGTTTGTCTGCTCGTTAATTTGCAGGGACGACATTTATATTAGCACGGAATTCTGAATGTTATGGTTGGTTTTGGTTAAAACATTCTGCTCCAAAACTGCTCCAAAATGGTTGGTTTTGGTTAAAACATTCTGCTCCAAAACGTTTATCAATTGAAAGTGCTAGTCGAATGAAACGAGCTTTCTATATACAGACACTGTAAGTGTCTGTATGTCTGATCGGTCTGTCTGTCCGTGTCGTCGCCGTTGCTGTCCGACACATGACGTTTGCCCCATAACTGTCAAACCGTACTTTTGTTCAACATTAAATTCACTGAGTGGCTTTGTTTGGCAAAGAAGCAGGTTGCTTTCGAAAATTGGCACGGTCAGTTTACATTTACGGCAATTATTCTGTTTTTTGCACATTTTGGTGACGTTCGCCCCATAACTGCCAAACCGTATTTTATTTTATTATTTTTTTTACATTAAATTTACTGAGTGGCTTTGTTTGGTAAACAGGCAGGTTGCTTTCGAAAATCGGCATGATTGGATGACATTTATGGTAATTATTCTGTTGTTTGTTTGTTTGCTTGTTTGTTTATTTGTTAGTTTGTTTGAATATTTTATTTTCTCACACATTAGCATTTTCAGTGGGTTTTATAGCCCATGATATACTGAATTACTTGCTAGTTTTTTTTTCATATTCATGTTACCTGTCGTACATAATGTTAGAGGGTAAGAGTGATTACATAATAGTGCATCAAAATTGGCCAAAACATTATTTGATGCACTCTTTTCTGCGTCTGAATGTCTGAACATTTGCCAGCATTGCTGCCTTGTTTCCTGTATTGTGTCTGTATATTTGTCAGTTTTGCTGTCTAGTTTTATTTATGAAACTTCTCGTAGAAATATAATCCATACTTAAGTATACACAGAAATTAAATCCACACTAAGTGTCTGCCCTGCATGGTGCTGGTTTGCTTTTTTTGGTAATTGTATGTTACTATGTCGTAGTACCGTGCTAGATATCTGATCATGGTGTTATGATGGCAATTTATGTATACTTTTGGGTCGGGGTTGATATCCGTCCCTTTTCGAACCTGCAACGTTAGATTTGAAGTTCTCATTTAACAGATGTAATGTCTGTATAAAATGATAAAGTGGTTGTTTTAAAATTATCATATGTTAATTTCCAAGAAGATGAATGTTTTCTATTTGTCACTGAAAATATGTGTGGGCAAATCTGTACCTTGACACCTCGATGTGAACTTGATGTTGAAATCTGGGAAGGAAAGGCATTTCAAACCCATTAGCTAAAATACATATAGGAAACTTTTAATAACATTTATTGTGTGTTCAGTCGAAAAAAGGGAAGAGATGTAAATCTACAAAAGACAAAGCCTTAAAAGTCACAACATTATGTTAACGGGCAGAATGTGCCCACGTTACTGCAGAATTGTCCACATGTACTATAACGATCTTTTAACAATTATGAATGTGGAACTGTGTCTGTGAATAAACTTCCTCTGGTTCTCGGTGTTTTCAGTGCTGGGCGGGGATAAAATATCTGTTTTCTAAAACAAAGTTAAACCATGGGGTGGGGTAAAGATTGCCATCTGAAATAAAAAAATAATGAAAGTTAATTAAATATTGCAGTGATTATTTATATGCCGTTTAAGACTTGTACTACAAAACAGAAGTGTCGAAAAAAATGGGAAATGGACTTCATTTAGATTTCGTTTGTTCATTAAAATGTTTCTGATATTAATCATAGCCTTTTGCATTCCAAATTTTCAAAATCACTTGAGCTGTCGCAGAGCCCAATTTTCGGGAGGTAATGGGTATTATAAAAAGATTTAATGAATTTTTAGACCGACAACTTTTGCCAATTTTGCTCAAAAAGATGGTGAACAATTAATGATTCTTAAGCAAAATCTGTAGATTTTTAAAAATTACATTATAGGGTTTATTATTTAATCTGTTACACTAAAGTACATTCAAACAGTTTTTTCAGTTATTTAAGGATTTTACGGAATTATCATCTAAAAATGTTATTTTGTTCCTCTAATTTCGATATTCTACCAAAGTGTATATAAACCTTCATACTTCGTTTGGTTTGAATTTTCAAAGTGAAAAAAATGCCTAAAATGTGCGGAGGAGCGTTCTAAGTAAAGTTGTTCTGCATTCTTATACAATTGAATTTTTTCGGGAGTAAGGGTTGATTGAGAAAGACGGGCTTGGTTAAATATCAGTCCTGTATTCATGTTATGTTATTTTGTCATCACCGAACACCGAGAACCAGAGTTAATTTTAAGTGGATGTGAAAAGTCACTACAAGTACATTGACTTCTGCGTAACCTTTTCAGTTTTGTTTGTATAATATTCTGAATATGGGTAAGATTTGGGTAATCTTGTAAACCGCCCATGTCTTTATGTCGCTCTTGATTCAAATGCTTTGCAAGTGTTAATTTTCGTCCACAGTTACACCATGTATTATATTTATTTTCGAATTTAGTGTAAAGAATTTAAAAAAATCGATTGGCAAAACAACCGGGAATCTTACCAACATGAAAAAATTTTGGCTACATTTCGATTTGGTGTGCAAATATCAACAAGACGACACAGGACAAGGTGTGCTTACATGCGTGTGTGCGTTAGTGCACGAATGACAAAGAAGATTATTTGCATTTTTAAAATTGTTACAACATTTGAATTTGATTTGATGGAATTCGATAAAAACAAGGTACTAATGTCGATAAAAAGTTGCCAATTTGTTTAAAAAAAACATTTTGTCTATTATCAGTTTTTGCCAAAGTCTCTCAAATGTTATGATCTTGAACTTTTTTTTCATAAATCAATGGATTCCGGCTTTTAGTAATAATGTTAAAATGCATAAAATCTTCGACTTCGTTTTATTTACAGATATATATTATCTCTTTTTGTTTGTCAAGTTTTAATTCATATTAATAAGCAGAAAATGTTATTTCATTATGTTTGTAAAAAAATTGATACTTAAAATGATTCATTTTGACAAAAATAAATGTACAAATCTTGCAAAAAGTGGTCTTTTTCCCTAGCTCACCTCGATCCCTTCATCTCTTGCGTACTATTCTGCCGTCTTACCTACTGAGCCACTGGCTCGACTCACTTCTTTTACATCGTAGGACCCCCTTGTCGCAATTTAAATTACTCATTTGGAATTTTTTTGCAAAAGGTAATTTGCTGGGACCTAGAGGCGCCAGGTTTCGAACCCAAGTCTTGCTGGGTCCGAGTCGCGCGTGCTATCCACTCCTCCAAGTGTTCCCGCCCACCCACCCCTGGTGGACTTTTCTTTTATAGTAACTAAAGGGAATTTTGAAAAGGCCTTCTAGAAGAGAATTTAATATGTTCCAAGTACTCGAATCGAACCCCCACCATTAGAGTTCTACCAAGCTATTGAAAACGATAAGTCATTTTGCATATAATTGCAAAGTATTTTATTCAGAGAAAAATAAATTGCTACATATTTCAAACATACACTTGTTAAAAAAATATGTTTTAATAACAATAAGTTTTGAATATTCAAAAATGTAAAACAAAAATATTGATTTCTGCAAGACTCGTTCAAGTTACATTTGATAAATAAACTATCTTATGAACTACTTGGCTAATGTTTGATCTCAGATAAAAATGACAATCAGATTTTTCAATTACATTTTTAACAAAAACAACGGCAGCTGAAGTTGCTGTCTCTCCCCACACCACCGCTGGAAAAAATCAAAAGAAACTCACTCTGATATGATAAATGATCATTTTAAGAGTCGCAAAAAATACTCCAAATTGTT